AAAACAGAAAATCACCGGGAATGGATGGTATATCCAATAAACTTTTAAAATATGGAGTCCCGGAACTTGCAAGTAAACTGGCACAACTATTTAACAAAATATTAAACAAAACAGAAACACCAGAGGAATGGCATAATAGTATCACAATCCCCATATTTATAAAAGGACAAAAAACCTGCCCAAAAAACTATAGAGGAATAACCCTCTTAAATACAACAATGAAACTTTTCACGGGTATTCTCAAGGACAAATTGGAAAAGCAAATCACTAATGCTAAAGAACAACAAGGTTTTACAAAAGGGCGAGACGCAGTATTTATAATAAAACAAATAAAAGAAAAAGCTATAGAGTTCGGCATGCCAGCGTATATTTGCTTCATTGATTTGACGAAGGCATTTGACAGAGTTCGTCTGGGAGACATTCTAAATATATTAATAGAAAATGAAACACCGACCAGTATAACAAAGATACTCCATAAACTAAATAACAACAACGTAACCAAAGTTAGAGCAGGAGACGAATTCACTGAAAATATTCCAACACCGGGAGGAATTAGACAAGGCGACAGTTTAAGCCCCTTCTTGTTTAATCTTCTCATGGGCAAAATTATCAACAAAGTAACATCTCTTAATCTCGGATATAGAATGGGGAACAAAAGAATTGGTATGGTGTGTTACGCAGACGATGCAGCAATTATTGCCGAATCAGAAGATGATCTCCAAAGGCAGCTCTTTCAGTTCTTTCAAACAAGCCGACTACTGAATATGAACATCTCTACTAACAAAACTAAATGTATGACAATAGCAAAAGATCCGCTCAGATATAAGTTAGTGGTTGAGGACAACCCCATAAAACAGGTGATGCAATTCAGATATCTGGGCATAGATATATCAAGCACCCACGACCCAGTAAAGGACCTGAGGAGTCAGATCAACAAAGCTTCTGCACTGTCAGGATTTCTGCGGGAGATAGTCTGGTCAAATCCGTATAAGCGCACAGATAGTAAAATTAGAATCTATAAGACTTGCATACGACCGATCATGACATATGGCATAGAAGTGCGCGAAGATACTAACAAAACGAAACAGATGCTAAGGGTTGCCGAAATGAAAACCCTAAGAACAATAATGGGGAAAATAAGAAGAGAGAGAGCGAGAAATACAAATATTAGAGAGCAGTGCAAAATTCAAGATATTGTAAGATGGGGAAGGCAGCGCAAGGGGATGTGGTACAACCATGTAAGACGAATGGATGAGAATAGACTCCCAAAAATTGCCCTAGAAAACAATCCGCCCGGTTCAAGACCCCCCGGAAGACCACCTAAAAGATGGAGGGATAGTTGGCAATCTACCTCCCAAGAAATTAACCAGAGGCAGCTTCAGAATTAAACAGATCGAAAGATCTACAAAAAGTAGAAGAAGAAGAAGACTAAAATACCAGCTGTCTCAAGCTCATAAACATTAAAGAAGAGTTCAATTTTTGTGGGTACCCTCACATGTCGGAAAAACGGGAAACAAAGAAGCTGACAGAACTGCACGACAGGCAATTTTAAACGATTATTCGGAGCCTATAGACAAATGTGTTTCCAGTGGCTTAAAAGCTTATTTTAAAAATAAAGTCTTGTGTTTGTGGCAAACTGAGTTGTCTCAAGCTAATTCTAAGCTGAATAAGATTAAGAGTAATATTTCCCAGTAGATTCTATCAGCTTAACAATCGTGAACAAATTGTGCTTGCGCGTCTACGTCTGGGATATACCAAGCTAACACACTCCTACCTTTTCACAAAGAATAACCCACTCATATGTGATCAGTGTAACGTTTGTTCAATAGTTGAACAGTTTTTAATTAGTTGTGGTAGATATGATCAAGAAAGACGTAGTTACAATATCTCGAACTCTTTAGTAGAAGCTGTAGGTCAGGAGTGTTCCTACGATAATATAATGAAAGCTAAGATCTTAAAACATTTTCTATAATTGGTATTATTGAATTGTGTTACTTATATTTTGTTCCGTTGCTAATAATCTTTTGGTGAATGCAAACTCTTGTTTTCTGATAAAAAAAAACAATAACATAGGATTATAATGTTCATGTTTCTTTGTTGTTTGTGTCATTAAAGATATTCTTCGATAATACTGACTACTTAAAACACCCTTATAAATAAAATGAGAATGGGTTACGCTTGAGCCATTATCGTAATCTAAGTAAGTAAAATAATCTCCGTACTCCAAAGGTTCTCTGTAGCAACTGTGTCAGTGGAAATTGCAACCGATACACATTAATTTCAATAGTACAAAAGTTCTTGACAATTTATGACTCAAAATATTTTCGAGACTCTTTAGACTTTTAGATCGAAAAAAATATGCAATCTCTGAAAAAATCTAAACGACGCAAGGAAAATGTTGATGATATTATACAATAAACTCGAGGACAAAGAAAGAGTCAAGTTGAAAAGCTTGACGATAAATGGATGGGCCAATTTGATTTAAAAAAAACATTTTTTGTGTATACGGCCTCAAAAGATATTTCTTTTCTAACGTAACTTTTCATTCAAATATATTTATATTGCTTGTAGTAACCCTTATTCATTTTTAAAAGGGTAATATAGCAAAGTTAAACAACGTTTTCGTAAAAGAGGAAATAAAAGGTGAAAAGCAAATTATATATTTCCTTTCAGAATAATAAAATACTAAAAGAAAATATTAAGTTTAAAAGGTAACTTTAGGTTCATGGGATTTACTGATGTTAATCTAAGCGATTTGTTAATATTAGAAATTCACAAAGTACAAGTAATTTTTTGCAAATATATATTTTTTAAATAAATCTCCAATTCCCATAGCTTGCTATTATTTTTTTCTTCTGTGTAATCTTATACCTGATTTTGGTATTATGAATTGTTCCTTTAAAAAGATTTTGGCCAAATCAATTACTTTTTTGTATAACACCTGTACATGTTTGTATACTGCTATCTGGTCACAAGTGACCAATTATCAGTTATTTTCTGACCTAACTTAATATACAGCAAATACATACTTAAATATAAGGGATTATCCTATGGCAGGGCTTCCCAAACTTATTCGTACTGTGACGCCCTTAGGACTTTGCTATTTTTTTTGCGACGCCCCACAACCCAACCCCCAATAATACTTATTTACCAATTTTAATACTAGCCTAGTAACAGGTAACAGTTATAACAAAAACGCCATTTGAACATTTATAATTTTTATTAGAAATTTCAGTCACAACTTTTTTTGAGCTATGGGAAAATTCTCATATTTGGTATATAAAATAAACTATTTTTGTTGATAATTTTAACATCATTTTTTTTTGATATGTCATATGTCACTTGGCATATGACATGTCCATGTTGATGGACATTATGACTTGAAGCAAAATAAAATAAACCTGAAGATTTTAGAAATTTATTTGAATATCATTAGAATGACGAAATAAACAATATTCTTTGTAAATAACGAATTAATCATTTTACATGAAATTTAAAAAAACAGTTACGATCGCTTACAAAACATAAGTGAACATTACATTTCACGCAAAATGTATGTGATTTTCCCTTACAGTTCTCTATTTTGTAACGTGTACTATCTTTTTTTTTTCATCTATTTTCGGAAAATGTCCATAGTTGTCGAACCGTAATTCAATATATGGCCTTGCTTCAGTTTTGGTTTTTTTATTATTTGGTGTACCAGTATTTTCTTGATCAGATGGTCTGCCTCTCTTTGGTGGAACCTTATGTAAAATGAGGTGTTGCCCAATACTCATTCTAAAGTCCCACAAATCCAGGATTTTATTGTATTGTAGGCCTAGCAGTTCAGCTTGTTTTCTATATTCCAACCAGGAATTTACTATCACCATATCTATAGCATGTGGTATTATAAGTACAGTCCATTTTCTGGATCGTCTGTAGGATCTGTAAACGCTCAATAAAAAATCTAACTTATCAACACCACCCATGTTGGAATTGTAAAGCGATATGGCTTTCGGTCTAGATACTTTTATATACTCTTTCGACGTCTTATCCCATCTCTGGCACAAATCCATTTTTCCCGCTGCAACAAAATTTAAAGCCACTAAAACTGGTTTATTGTCGAACCATTTTGTAATCACAATTTCATCTTTACTAACCGCTACATCAAAACTACCTCTACCATTTTTTTTAGATCTTTATCAGATGTTAGTTCTGGTCAAAAAAATCGGTTTATTCTAATTGTTCCGACAGCCATAATAGATTTATTGTTCAACCATTGAAAGAGGTGATAAGAACTAAAGAAATTATCAAAGTACAAACCGTGATGAGTTTCTTCAATTCTCTCAACTAGCTGCATCACAGTTCCAGCTCCTTGTCCAAACTGTGCATAATTTTTTTTTATTTCCGTTTCAGCACCTTGATATATGATGAAATCGTAAATGGTACCAGATTGTCCAGCCAATATCCATAATTTGATCCCCCATTTTTTCGGTTTATTTGGGAGGTATTGCTTGACATTGATCTGTCCCTTGAATGGAACAATTTGCTCGTTAATGCACAAATTTGTTTCGGTTTGAAGTTCCCTACAACGATTTCTAATGGAATTATATATTTCTCGGACTTTCCACATGCGATCTGTTTCGTCACCTCTTGCTGTTACATCTACTAAGTGAATGGTATTGCGCAACTTGGAGAAGCGATTGAATGTCATATTATCTTTTACAATTGAAACACCTGTAAGCTGGGACCAATACAGCCTTGTCTTGGGAATTTTAGATTTCCCATAATAATGTGAATGCCTACAAATCGCTTTCTTTCTTCTTTATCTGATGGAGAAAACCGAGTAATATTTTTTTGTATGGCAAGTTAGTCATTTCTGAAATCTTCTCAAACAGAGCATCAGGTATGTATTTCATAAAATATTCAATAGGAACAGGTAATTCATAAACTTGTACTTCTTCTGGAACAAACCACTGTACTGGCCTGGTAAGATAGGTAATATTTTTTTTCCAACAAACATCTTTCTTATTTGTGAGTTTGAACTCTTTACAAAACTCTAGCAGTCTCTCCTTTGCAGTTGTTTGTTTTTCAGTGGTTTGGTTGGAATTTTCTTTGGTTTTCATGTCCTCAGACATTGGTTTTTCTGTAGTCACTTCATTGGGATATTCTAGATTTTCTAACTCACCTATTTCTGTTGACTTCTGTTCTTGGATCAATCCGTCAAAAATAGTTTCCTCAATATCTTGGATATCATCGCCAAATTTTGAGGAAACGTCATTTAGATCCGCAATACTGTTGGCGTCATCAGCATCTGACAAACGTAATATTTCTGAGTCATCGTCTTTCATGAGTAAATCCAGAAGTTTATCCTCAGTCAAGGGTCGTGAACATCTCTTTTCTTTACTAGTTGACGGTAAACTTCCCATTTTATGGATATCTAAAACAACACGACCTTGCTAATTTTTATATGCATAAGTATACCTAAGTCATTTTGTCCATCTACATGGACATATAAATATACACCACTTTATAAGATATTTTCAGTCAACAGTTTGATACATAATATAAACACACTATACTAATGCTCTTTACTTACCCAAATCAGCAGGTATTTGTACGAAAAAACAAGTTTATTCAATAGAAATCGTTCCAATAACAAACAGGTGTTTTCACCACCTCGACAGCGTACTAAATGCAACCTGTTTTGCGTTTTATATAGCTTCACAAATCGACTAACAGATGGCTATCAATGTATTCAATGCTTTTCTTATGCATGTACCCACACATGGACAAAATGATTTGGGCGATAATAACCATCGATGTTTTAAGAAAATGCTTTGAAAATCGATGTCCATAGGTGTGGACACGATGACCGAAAGGGTTAAGAAAGAAATGAAAACATAGGCATAAAAATAAAAAGGGATATTTATTTATGTAACTGGCTGGTTAATGTAAGGGATGTGTTTGCTTTTTTATGCACAGCTTATAAAACCGGCGCTCCAGTTTAGAAATTGCCGCTCTCATTTCTTTTTCTAAGTTTATATTTGACCTGTACTTGTTTTTAATTACTGCAAGTGCAAAAAAGCTCATTTCGCAGAAGTGCGAAGTCGCAAATGGTAATAAAACCTTTAATGCAGCAGTGCTGATGGCATGATATTCATGCGAAACTGAGCTCCAAAATTCAAACAGTTTGTCCTCGTTGTATTGAAGCTTTAGGCTGAAATCACAGGACAATTCTGTCAGTTGTTTTTCTTCCTCCGTTGAAAGTGTCAATGGTGTGGATGACTGGAAATGGTTTCTGAGGTTCAACCAGTTATATTGCTCCAGATCTTCGGGAGAATATTTCTCAAAGTGTTCGCTCAATGATAACATGTGTTGTGTAAACATATTTTTTAAAGAGGGATCGAGGATTTCTATCGATTTTTCTTGCAGAATACCTTGGAAAGCAGGGAAACAGTCAATTTATTGATCTTTTAATTTTCTCTTCCATAAGAGCAACTTATTCTGAAACCCAGTAATTTGATCTGCCAATTGCAGGATATGAGTATTGTTTCGCTGCAAAGACTTATTAAGATCATTGAATTTGTAAAATATTTCCCAGAGCTATGCTAATTTTATTATAAACTCTGAATTAATAAAGTTTTGCGCATCATTAGGTGATTCTGTATTTAGATACGTGTAAAATTCATTTCTTAATTCGTATACACGTGCGAGTACGTTGCCTTTTGGACAGTCAACGAGAGATGCAATACAAAAATAAAGAGTGTGCTCGGCGCCCATTTCATCACAAAGTTTATGGAAAAGTCTTGATTTCACGGGTCGTGTTTTAATGTAGTTCATCACTTTAATAATGATATCCATCATAACACTTAACTCAGGTGAAATGTTCTTTGCTGCTAAGGCCTCTCTTTGTATGACACAATGTGTCATACATACTAAAGTTATGATATGCTGATAAGCTACTCTATCTTCTATCGATTTTCATTTATTAGAATGCCTCTTCGTTATCATTGTTGTCCTCTTTTGTCTAATGTTGATCATTGTTTTTTTTTTAATATAGACAATTTAAATTTAACTTTAATAAAAAATCAAAAAAGAATATTAGAAATATGTGGGTAAATATAAATAGTACATTCAAGAACACTGGTGGGCCCAACGGACCCGAGTTGCCCAGTTACTTATGTAAAATATGTTGACCGGATAAGGGTTAAATAAAAAAAATAGTTTCTACTGTAAGTAATACAGTCCACTGAGCAAAAAAATCGTGATTATAATATTAAATTTGTTCTCGAGAAGAAAAGAAGCTATTTAAAGGTGGCCGCCAATTTATACTTTAGCAAGAGATCATGAGAAGTAAAAACCAAATATATTAATTATAAAGTTTTAATTAATATAGTTCCACAAATTGACATAATCTCTCAGATTAGTAGTATCCTTTATCAATTTTGTTTGACTCTATGATTGGAATATTTGCGGGGACATTTCGGTAGGCAGGTAAATACGAAACCGAACGTAATACTACGGGAGTTTGGGTTTGAATTCTCGTTATGGCCAGAATTGTCTTTAAATACAATTAACCGTTAATTAGTAAGGTATATGTGCCAATGTATAATAAATTTGTACTAATTAGCGCAGAGAATCCGTATTGGTTGATTGGTGGATTGTTTGTCATGGGTTAGTTATGACAGTTGTAAATTTCTAAGTAGGTATATTAGAAAAATTTTCATTTATTAGTGTAAAACTGTTATTAAACTAAGTTTCACCCTTTAAGTGGCAAAACTGTTTTTCCTTGGTTTGTTAATTACAGCTCCAATAGTAGAACCAACAGTTAGAATGTATTGCAGGTAATATAAGCAATCCCGGGCGGCGCATCAGGACCAAATTCAAAAATTATAGCACTGTAATATACACGCAAACAACAATTGCTTACGGTTGTACAAAAGATTATCATTATTGTTTCAACTAAAGCATGATTCAATTATAAATGTATAAATAAAAGAGTTACATTTTGGAACTAAACAATAACATGAAGAAAAATACCATAAAAAAATTAAAATATATCAAAAACTTATTGTCGATAGCGTATCTACATTTATCATTTTTAAATAGCTTTCATTTTAAACACATTCTTTGGGAAATAAGGAACATTATGTAGTCATTAGGAGAAGGGAGTCAGTTTTATTCTTCATTGTCCACGCAAAGCAAACATGTCTCTTTGTCGATTTGAGTACTGGCCATTAAACCAAAAACTTATTGACAAAAACTATGAAAGCTTAGTTCTGTTTTACTTTCGCAGGATGAAAGTACTTATATCATGGAGCCCTTTCCAGTATCTAGTATAATTTTAAACAGGGTACGAGTCTTAGTGTGCAACTAAAACGTGTCATGTTGAATTGCATGCAGTGGTATATACCACTCTGATAAGACCTAATGAGGTCGAAATACGTATAAGCGGCTTCCAGCTGCGCTGTATCGAAATAAAAATCTAATACCGTCATTATGTTTTATTTCTTTAGTCTGTTTGGAGTACCAAAAATTGAATTCACTACGAATTTTAACCATGACGAACGGTAGGTGGAGTGCATATTTTAGATTCTCTTGCCGAATTATTTATCTAGCTGTTTGCTTTGCAAGTTTTAGAAGGCACAGTGGTAAAAATTTGAATTCAGTTTCGCCAGGTAGGAAATCGTATGATTTCTCTTGTTTCTTCAGTTTTCCTTCTTGGTAGGTACTGTGATAGCTCGATATACGAGCACCCTAATATACGAGTGTTTTTTTACGATATACGATTACGAATATACGAACGATATTTTGTTTGGGGATGAGAGCAAGATTTAAGATACGAGGAATCGGTTTTTATTCAAATTCATACCTTTTATTTGACTACTTCTAATTTGCTTTGTACATAAAAGGTAGTTTTACTGGTAATAGATGTTTATGGCCTTGCCATAAAAATCATTTTACGGGTCTGTATGTGACTAATTACAAATACCTTGTTCAAACTTCCTAAACGTAGACTATATACATGGAGGTCATCAGCTGACAATAACAACAAAATAGTCAAAAAACAAATAGATTATATTATCGTCAACAAAAGATATAGAAATTCTATAATATCATCTAAAACATCCAGGAGCGGACATATCCGCCGACCACAACCCGGTTGTTTTGTCGATGAGAGTGAAACTAAAGAAGGTCAACAGCCCTAGCACCAAGAAAATCATAGATACAACACGTCTCAAACAAGACAACACATATGTGGAAACCAAATTTAAAATAAACGAGAGCTTAAGGAATGTCAAAGAAGATAATGCAGAAACTCTAACTATTGACCAAAAATGGGGAAAAATTCAACATGCCCTTGTGTCAGTTGGAAAAGAAACCCTCAAACCACTTAAAGAAAAAACAAAACCTTGGATGACAGTAGAAATTCTTGAACTCATGAAAGAACGAAGAAAACATAAAGCAAAAGACCTGAATAAATACAAAGAAATTCAGAGAAACATCAGAAAGAAAATTCGAGAGGCAAAAGAGAGGTGGCTCTCCGATAGATGCAAGGAAATAGAAGATCTGGATAAAAAGTACGATAACTTTAATTTACACAAAAAAATCAAAGAAATGACAGGTTCCAGAAAGCGTACAAAAACGAATATCCTTAAAAATGATAAAGGGGATATTATTACTGATATGAAGGAGAGATTATGTCACTGGACCAATTACATTCAACAACTATTTAATGATGAAAGAGAAGAACTGTCATTAGAAATCACCGAGGATACTGGCCCACCAATATTAAGAGAAGAAGTCATCTATGCCATCAAAAACACAAAAGAGGGTAAAGCTACTGGACCAGATGAGGTGCCCATCGAATTATTAAAACTCATCGATGAAGATGTTATTGATGTAATGGTTGAACTCTTAAATCTAATATATCAGACTGCCACAATCCCCAGACAATGGCTGCAATCAACCTTTATAGCAATTCCCAAAAAACCAAGTTCAGCAACTTGCTCAGACCACAGAACCATAGCTTTAATGAGTCACACACTTAAAACATTTTTGAAAATAATTCATAGCAGAATTGTTAAAACTCTTGAATATGAGATTAGTGACACACAATTTGGCTTTAGAAACGGTATGAGTACAAGAGATGCTTTGTTCGGCTTGAATGTGCTGGCTCAGAGATGCATGGACATAAATCAGGATATGTACTTATGTTTTGTAGACTTTGAAAAGGCATTTGATAAAGTTCAACATAAAAAGCTTGTAGATATATTAAAAAGCAAAAATATTGACAGTCGTGATCTGAAAATTATAGTGGAGAAGTTTTAAATAATATACGTGTTGC